ATTAGATGTCATCTCGTTTTAATAATCTCAGAAAATATTTAATTTGTAAAATCGTTAGCAGGCTAACAAGCAGTTAACATAATATATTTCCTTATATAAACTAATTTTTGACTTGTAAACACTTCGAAGTTGTAAAACAATAGGAAGGCATGGCATTTTATTCTTGTCTATATCCTTATATTGATGGTCGTATATGTGGAAATAAATGTTATCGGCAAGAAGGATGTCACATTCATTGGAAAAGGCGATTTCGTATTCCTTGTGGTGAATGTGATACACCAATGACTTCTTCTTACGGAATGTGTGTAAAACATGCTGGAAAGTATTATAGTAAAGCTAATTATTATAAAAACAAACTTTCATCTCCAGCCACTAATGTTCTGAATCCAAATCGATCTGATAGGTCTCGAGAATAGAGAAGGATTCCCCAATCTGGAAACATATACTTCAGATCAAATTCCATGGGAATCTCAGTCTGCCAGCCACCTACCCACGCTCGATAATCCATGATGATAAAGAAAGGTTCACAAAGTGAACATCAGATATAGGTCTGGGTCTATTTGGCTAATCTGTGATAAGAAAACTGCTTGACCGCTCTGGCTATTTTGGACGCGAATATCTCAGGATCTACTGATTGGAATCATACAAATGCAGACTTATTTGGAAGCCCTTGATCAGGACTAGCCAGGCCAGAGGGATTTGAAAAATCATGGGTGCTAAAGCATATGTATACCAAATTTCAGATGGGCTAGTGCTGAAGATGTTCTGGGAATATTCCTAGAACTCAATATATATGCATTTATATTACTTGATTTTTTTTCATGTTTTGCGTACATGCTTCGCATCCTTGGTGCTCTGCAACCTCTGTGAACATATCTTATGTACATATGCTTCGCATCTTCGATACTCCGCAACCTGTGAACATATCTTGTGCACATATGCTCCACATCTTTGATGCTCCGCAACCTGTGAACATATCTTGTATACATATGCTCTGCATCTTCAATGCTCTGCAACCTGTGAACATATCTTGTGTATATATGCTCCGCATCTTCAATGCTCTGCAACCTGTGAACATATCTTGTGTACATATGCTCCACTTCGCTCCGCAGACTTAGCATTCATATTTGCTTTATGATTTGCATACCATCTGCCCACTTATTGTATTTACAGTTTGCTTACCGCTCCACTTCGTTCTACATAAAGTAAGCTTATTTACATTCAAACAATTCGTGCTAAATAAAAAAACAAGTTAGTATTTATAAGATTTCAAAGAGTATAGCTAAGTAAGATTACAAAATAGTATTTCTGAGATTGTGGAATCTCCAGATAGGCAAGAAATATAATTAGTCATTATAATGAGCTAGAGATGCGAGAAATAGAAAAAGAATATAAAGTAATATAGCAAGAAGGCACTGGGAGGCTACCACTTCTTAGTGAAAACTGCCCTTGTTTCCCCCCCCTCCCCGGTATGGTATTTTTGCACTGATAAAAGGACAAAGAGTAAGGAATTAGAACCTGTTAAGGTATGATATATTATTACTTAATTAATATAAAGTGGTTTTATAGGAAATGATTTTAATATACTTATATTTAAAGGAATTTGTATTCGAAACTATTGATGACAAAGTCTAATTTCTTATTCAGCCTCAACAACATACTATTGATCTTAAAGTAAAATGCCTATTTCATGGAATGCCACTAACTTTTCAAATACCTACATCAATATCTGATCCTCTTATTATAGATTTTTATTATGTCTTACATGCTATGAAAAATGTACTTAAGGTTTCATAAAAAGCATCTTTTATTTTTTTCTGTTATCACAATTCTTTGATATAATGAAAATGTAACTCAAACTTCAATGAAAATCTTATCGAACTGTTAATGATTACAAATTAATGATGCTTTCTTTAAGATCCATAATTCAAAACAATTAAGCCAGATTCACCTTAAAAATTCCTTAGATTGTAAATGATTATCACAAAATAGCGTTTTTGTTAGTGATTTTTCAATCAATCCAGCAAAGGTAAACAAGACAAATTTTTCAGGCAAAAACTAGTCTCGATCAAATTCAAATACACACATTAAGAAAAAAAAGTAAGTTGGGTTAGTTTCTTTTCTATTGTTCAAAGTCAACATATGATAATCTTTGTATTTATCAGACAGATCGAAATTAATCAATAGTGATCAGAAGTTTTTAACATGAGAATCATGAGCGCTTAGGGATTTTTAAATGATCAATTTCTATAATGCGATCATCTTTACGTAATTCCTACGATGATTTTTAGAATGGATCATCATCACGGATTTTATAAGAAAGATAATTATTCATTTGTTTTCCGGTCTATAAGTTAAGTAAGCCTCCAGGGAGTCCGCTAATCCAGATTTTCGTGATATATATTAAATCACATGATAATAAACCCCAGAAACTTATATTAGAGCCTATCTATAACTATTTATATTTTAAATAAAATAATTGTCCGGTCTTGTAACTTACCACCATTACTAAATTACGATTTAAATCTTTATAAATCTTGGTTGATTTATTGATATTGTTGATTAAGTATTAAATTTAATAAGAACGTTTTTAAAAATTACCACATCGTTACTTTTAGTTTTGAATTATTACAGATATTTGAACGATTAAATATTCATTTTTATTTTTTTTTTGTCTATGTTAATTTTTTAAGAACAAGTAAAAATTTATTTATTTATTAAAAAAAAATACAAAAAAAAAAATAATAATAATAATATAAATACAGTACTTTGTCGGCTGCTATATACGCATGGCATACTTTCAACTAATTTAAGATTTGCAGGACAGAATTCTAATTCTATTTTAGCAAAAGTCAATTTTTGATTATGATAGGATTCAGACATTTTTAGTTTCAAAATCTCAGATTTTTGCTTAGAATTTTAGAACGAAATGGAACTACTGAATGCCAAATCATCATAAAATTGGCAACATATTGTTATGAATTAAATTATATCTAGTATCATAAGAATCATTTTTTGTTAGATTTCACCTAGACATGAGTATTACAAATATTATACATCACACTCACTCTTTATATAATATATGATAATTTACATTTTAATTATGATTATATAAGCTCTAATGACAATTTATAATGAAATAAAGCCAAAATGATAATTCTTTAATGCATTATAAAACATGAAAAATAAAAAAAAAAATAATTAAATAATTATCAATGCAATGCTAATATAACATGAGCCAATGTTTAACGTTTCACTATTTGAACTAATTATGGTCATATTGGGAAAGGGTTTTAATTTATTTAATAATGTGATGATATTAAGCAATTTAAATTATTAAATATTACAAGTAAAATAATATCATATTGCATTACAATAAAGTCTACTTTATTTACTCACATACCGAAGAAAAATGAAATAAATTATTTCAGCATTCAATAGTGAAAAAAAAACATCTCTTTATTTTATCACGGTATTTTAATTATTATGACGTACCTCGAATAACTATAATACCTGCAGATATTACTAAATGATTATTTATTATAATAAGATATCTTTATTTTTATTTGAGTTCGATAAAGATTTCTCAAATCCTTAAAGCACGCAATTAACAAGAATGTTTGAAATTAAACTTCAATGATTCTATGCAATAATATAGACTACAAATAACGAGTATAACGTTCGTTGATGGAGATTGATCTCTGTTCAAGGAAATGAAGTCATTACGTGTCAAACGCAATTTCTGCGCCTCAATTTCATGTAAAGAATACGTCATTGATTAAGCCACTGATCGGCGTTGGTATATTAGATCACATCGCGGCAGCACATCTTCCCTTAAACTTACGAACCAAAAAAAGATGACTTTCGAACTAGTTCAAGAGTTAGATTACACGAAGAAACTGTTGAATAATGCTAAAGAGAAGTTGGATAGACTGGAGGATAGACTGGAGGAACTGAGGAACGGAACGGCACAGCCTACGTGGAATGGCGAGGTGGCAAACTTGGAGAGCAAAGAAAAAAGTCTGGAGACGGACAAAAAGAATTGGTCTAACCAGTTAGCAATGCTACAGACGAAACTGATGGAATATACTCAACCAGGTAACGACTCGGGTGTTGGGGACATAGAGTAGTGTGTACATAGGGTAGAATAGACCTCTTGTACAAGAAATTTGCAATATCTCATCACTTATTTTTAGTTTGATCAGGAAAAAGAAAATTGGATTTGGATGATGGGAATGAAGGCGGAGACCGAAAAAAAGGTAAACGAACAGGTGCGTTTATAACGTCTTGATCTAAAAACTTCAATATTTTAACAAATAATTTATTTCTTAGTTCCGGATCTTACTAGTGCTCAAATAATTATGAAAAGAATAATGGAACTTCCAGAGGATCCTGATGTTTACTCGAATCCGAAAAATTCCCTTTCATTACCATTTCCATTTCTTGGCTCAAAAAAACCAGTAGAAAGGTTTGCTTTTAACGATGATGAATTTTTCACCTTCATGGGAAGAAGGGAATTCAAGAATGTTTTAGATGAAATCAACAAACTTCGAACAAGTTATTATATGGAAATGTTTATTTATGGAACCATGGGGTATGGGAAGTCATATATTCTTTCAGCAATCACGTGCTACCTTTTCCGTGTCAAAAAACGTGTAGTATACCTTCCTGATTGCCGTGACCTGTCATTTGATCCTGTGGATTACATTAAGTCGGCCCTATTCCTTACTTATGTAAATGACCTTGAGGAAATAAACAGAATTAGTTTATGTGAAACACTTGGTGATATCGTAGATTTTTTTAAATCGGTAGATGAACGTTTATATTTTATTATAGACCAAGTGAATGCTTTGGATGGAGACGATACTGGAATTACCCCACAAACCAAAATCGAAATTAGAGGAATTATCAATAAAATTCGTAATATACATTTTTGTATTAAGAGTGCTTCAGCAAATAACGAATGGGCACTTCGATATAAGAGGAAGCAGACTAATGAGATTAAGATGGCTCTTTATGGAGGGCTTAAAGAGGTAAGACTAAGATCAATGATTAAGGTACTTTTATTATAGATATTCTGCTTGGTAACATAAAGTTCAATTTAGGATGAGATGTTAGAATGGTGGGTAAGACATGGACATCTTTTGGATCATGATGAAAGGGAAAATCAAATGAAAGAAATTGAAGATATCACTGGTTGTGTTCCACTCTTCTTAAGATACTTCCTTGAATCTTATAATGATAATAGTGACGAAACTTTTGATTTCAGAAAGAACCACTTAATTGAGAATTTAGAAAGTATAATAAAACCTAATTTAGATCAATTTTCATTAAATAAATTCGTAATAAAATACGATCAGAATCGGTATGTATAGTAGTTTGGTTAGTGATTAGTAAGCACTTATATTCTGACTTCTTTCTATTTGAATAGTTATGTTGAGGTGATGACATCGTTCATGACAAATACTAAACTTCCTATCCATAAAGAAGACGATTATGACCATCGTTACTTTTATGTTAAAAGAAAAACTCGTTATGACAGATACGAAGTTGGTCATTATATCTGTGGGCTGACGCGAAATTATATAGCTGAATTCTTATATGAGAGATCCAGAATGAATGTATTTACGGATGTAAAGTGGATTAATAGCATGAAAATGTTCAAGGACAATCCGTCAGTATTAGGATTCTTTATGGAAAAGGCATGCATCGCTAGCATTTCTAAATATGGATTGATGGTAGATAAATCATCTTTTAAACCTGACAGAACGGAGTTTTTTTCCAGCGAAATTGCTGTAAGAGAGAAAACATGTACATTTTTTATACCATATATTTGGAATCATGATGCTATTGATGGATTACTACTCTTACACAAAAAAGAAAAGAAAAGTATTGATTCTGTTCATGTTATTCCAATACAAGTTACAATTACAAAGCCCAGCAAACATTCAGATTCCGAGCAAAAGTTTTTTGACGGTGCTTGGAAAAAATTGAAATTAGCAAATTATGGTGAAAATGTGAAAGTATCATTTGTATGGATTACGTGCAGAAGTGAAGATAGCAGAACGATTGAACAAAATTTCAAGAAATTACGTGAACAAATTATTGAAGTTAACCCCAGTTATAATAGGGAGGTAATCGCATTTCGAAATGTCAACAAAGATATTGATGATGAATTTCTTTTTTCAGATCGTGATATTTGAGTCTTTACCTAATCAATAATTAATAGCTAGACTTATCAAATAATTAACAATAAAAACTTCTTCGTTGAATTGCAAATTTTTATGCTTTCCCGTGTAATATTAAGATCTTTGTTTTTTTTTTATATATAATGGTAAATTAAAAAGCAATACAGTTGTTCAAGGGAGGAAGTAATGACTTTGCTCCTAAAATGCTGAACTTTTTAATTTATGATATACTGTGCGTTTATAAAACACGTTGCAATATTAGTAATATATTTTATTTTAACTACTATATATTGTTAAACCAATAAATGTTATGATTTCTTCTTGCTTGTCTTTGAATGACTCTTAAATATTTCTTTCAATAGCATTTATACATTCATAAGAATTGATAAATCAACATTATCATTGGTTGATCCTTCAGAGGACGAATCTTTATTTTGGTCTCTTTTGTATTCATCATTATAAATTTTTAGTCTAGCTAAATCGAGTTAAACGCGCGTTACCTAATAAATGTAATACAAAAATTAGAATCCGAACCATAATTATTTTATACGCTTATATTTATTAATTACACATATTACTATTACATTGCATACATTATTATAGTTTAATAGATTGAAAACAAGCAAGTTATTTTAATTCCTCTTCAGGTACAGGTCCCAAGAAAAAGCTGGTTAGGGTACATAAAACGAGAGCCCCGGATGAAAACCATAAACAGGCTGCCAATGAAATATAGTTAAATAATATCCCACCAACAATCAGCCCAATTAACCTTCCTAAAGCATTTGCCATATAATAAAATCCAACATTCATGGCAACTTTATCTCTATGACAATATGCTAAGATAAGGAACGAATGAATTGAAGAATTTACCGCGAAAATAAATGCAAAGGTAAATAATCCAACAATAAGTAATACAACCAAAGCTGTACGTTGTGTTAAATCATTGATAAATTGAAGTCCAAGTGCGATTCCAATCGTTACGACTAGAAGAGCAATGGTGAATGGAACAAGAAGTTTTCCTGACTTTATTGGATAAATTCGAATTGGTTTTAAAATTAATTGAGGTGTACTTGATTGAATGGCGCCATAAAACATCACCCATCCTGCTAAGAATGCCCCTGTGGCGAGATATGACCTAAAGTAACAAAAAAAGTTACTTAATGCATAGTTGATTTTGTACCACAACCAATACAAAAAAGCGTGCCTACCATTCAACTGTACCTCTCAAATACAAGGGTATTGGAACTTCAAACCACAAATCTCGTGATCCAAATAAAAACATCCTGGCTAATGACAAGATATTTACATCTCTTCCCTAAAGGTTGAAAATTATTAATATAATTGTAAATTTTTAATAATTTTCATTAAAATTTAAAGTACCTTATTAAAAATTTCTTTAAGCGTCAACTCTTTTTTCGATTTGCTGACGGCCAGGGTGCGATCAAGAAAAAACCAAGCGAGTGGAATTACGATCAAATTCATTACCAATAAAACTGATAAAGCTGGTATATATCCCGTAAACCTTAACAAAAAAGCTCCCCAAAAGAAGCCTGCACCTTTAACCGAATTCTTTGCACCTGTAAGCCAAGCCACCAATTTAAAAAGCTTTGATTGATGTGCACCTTCTTCTTTTGTTACTAATTTAGTTACAGACTTTCCTCCTAATTTTACCATATCTTTAGCAATACCGCTAAATCCTTGAGCTATAATAATATATATTATTACAACAGTTTTACTCCAACTTGATTGTAAACCACAAAGTATTCCAATTCCTATTACTTGCGATAAAAGTCCTACGAGAAGACAAAACCTTAAACCTAGTCGAGATCCAAGAATACCGCCAACTAGATTTGTAACCACACCAAAAAATTCATATAGAGTGAACATTAAAGATATTTGCAACGCCTAAAGATTACTCAAGATTGTTAGATTGAATTTATTTTAATATAACAAAAAATTTTTTAACAAATACTAACATCAAACTTTCGATTAAATAGTTCTAACAAAACGATCATTCTTAATCCTGAATCTGTTAATGTGAAAAGCAAATATCCGCATGCGATTACATAAAAATTCCTCATGGGAGCTATGGGATCTGTAGGAGATTCATTATGATCTGTTTCATGCTTCTCAATATCTCGATTTGATGAGAGGTCAAGTTCATTATTATTTATTTCATTAGAAATTGGCATAGTGGGTTCATTTGACATTTTTTTTTTGTTTTTAAAATAATGATAATTTATAATTCTTTTATTTGATTTACTTTTTTTTTTTAAAAAAAAAATGAAGCATACCAAAAATTTATGACATATTTATATTATATTCATTTATTTACTTTCCTGCCCTGGTTAGGATAATTTGCTTTTAGTGTAATTCATCTTTTGCGTATAAACGCTATTGGCTAAATTTGATTAAAAATTCACCAAATTAAGTAATTTGGAGATTGATCTGCTTGATCGACTCCGTCATGTATGAATTTCAAATTTGCTTCCAATTGATCATTGGCTGAATGGAATTTCAAATTGAAATCACTCTCTTCATTGCACGTGAAAAAGAGCGAGAACATTCGATGTTTCGCTCTGATAAATGAATAATGAATTATATTAGAATAATTTAACATTTTAATTTAATAAATCGAACAAAGGACTGAATTTTTCACTATAGGCTCTACATTTTGTAATTTAAACTTTTGCATAAATATATATATTATTGTTATATATATATATATAAATTTATAGTTCGTATGAAAAATTTTGTTTGAAAGAAAATATTTCACGAACAAAATCTACTAATGATATTACAACAACAATCGTTTTAAGAATATTGGTGCAATAATTTTTAACCGTTTATTTAATAAAGCATTATCGTTATAAGCAATACCCGATTTTGAGACTTATACAATAAAAAACGGAGATAATGAAGATAATCTCTTTTGTATTCATAAATGATATCGATGAAATCTTTAAATAAATCATAAAATCATTTTGAAAATTAAATTGTAATAAGGTCAATACGATTCTAAAAGTTTACAACTAATTAACTTAATTTCTTGTATTAAAAAAAAAAAAGAAAGTAATTTATGTAATAAATAAACTTGCAATATCAAACAATTGGAACAAAACAATCTAAATAGAATATTTATCCAAAATTATCTGGATCATTCACATCGGTTACAATACTTCCTCACGTAAGTGGAATAAAGATCGGTTGAACAATGATGCCCGGGTTAATGAGCGAAGTGTCACCTGTCGAGTATTTCACTCGGACCAATTCATTTATTTTCAATTTTGTAGAATTTTTGCGATAATGTATGTATTTACAAATAAAAAATAATTTTTCTTTTTCAGACCCTTCATCACATTTAGGAAAAGTAATAAAATTCTTTTTTTTTTGTTCTTTTATTTGATAATTAATCTAAATAAAGAATCATCTTGAAGAAAAAAAATTAGAAAATGATAAATTTAATTTCTTAATTGATTAATATATAAAACATTACCGAAATTGAGCAAATACTCGACAAAGTTCACCATTCTCAAATTATTCCAATTAATCAATTGAGTCAGATAACGCTAGTTTATTGAAGGAAAAAAATTTTTCTCTTTGATAAATATTACATCGTAAATTTTAATACTAAATATTCCTAAAATAAAAGTTTAAGATAAATCCCGTAATCAGATCGTCTGACCACTAACGAACTGTCCTTTATCGTTGACCCTATGATTCTTGGTATCATAACGCGAATGACTCTTATATGTTTAATGAGACCTTCACTATAAAACTTTTTATGAGGTCAACGATCACTGTATTGGATTACTAACATAGGTACTATTACGCCAGTCTACATCTATAAAATCGTTAACACTTATTGGACTATGGCACTTTAATATTCATGGACATGGGTCTGACTTTTAAATTATTTAAGGCTTTTTATATGGTTAATTGGAAGAGAAAAAACTGTTAACTTATTAACACAATAAATTAGATCGGAGGCATGATTGGATCGAAAGACCGAACGTCAACTTTTATCATTCTTTTTGTATGAAATAAATTCTGCTGCGATCGAAAATCAAATTTGACAAATTTTATTAACAGTATATAAAGGTAAGATGGGTGTTGGAATAATGTTCATGAGGGACAGGTGAGCCAAAACCTTATTTATTTTGTACAAAGTTAACGAAATCTAACGAATCGCATTCAGACCTTTCAAAAGTGTGAAATCAAGAATGAAAAATACAGGGGAAATAAGTTTTACGGAACTTTCATATCAATTATTATAAGCAGACATCTATATCATTATCATCAATGCTAAATTCAAAAACTTTTTTATTTATGAACTAGATTCATATAAGTGATTTTATCAGTCAGATAGATATTTTAGTTAAAAAAAATTTTGTGATATACAAAATTTAACATTTCAATAGAATTTTCTGAAAGATATCATCTAAAATTATTTTATAATTAGAAAAACTGCGTTCAACGTCAACTCCTGAAATAGGTAACCATATATAAACTAATCTATGCTTTGATACCATTTTGTAAAAAAAAAAAAAAGATATAGAATTTTTGTTCTTAAACCAAAACCACTTATAATAAAATTTATCACTATATAGCGATTTTATTATAAATTTCGCGATATTGCATATACCGAACTCTGGTTGTAAACCAGCTATAATTATTTATTCGCGGTAACCATTTTTTTCTCGTTATACCGATGGTTATAAAAAAATGTGATTTTTTTCTTGATTTAACGATCGATCGTCATCATTATAAAATGTCACTTTAATATATCGAAATTATATTATAGTAAATATCAAATGTTAAATAAATTAATATAAATATAAATTGGAAGATTTTATTTCTTCTATTGATCATGCCTTCTGAAATAAAAGTAATACATTGTCTATGGGACAAAAGCAAGAACTTTGTCTCAAAAAAAAATAAACAATCAGAATCTTCAATCCAATTATATAAATGAGTTTATTAGTTTCGATTAGATTTTTTTTTTTGTTCCCAAA